GGGGGCGGACGGTGAAGCGAACTGAGCAAACACAACGGGGGGCTGTGTTGTCAACGTGGGCCCCCCCCCCCCCCCGGCCGGGGGTGATATGGTCGCACCGGCGGCATGGGTGCCCCCTGCCAGGCCCGGTCGCGGGACCGGCCGCCATCACTCGCCGGGTCCGGCAATAACAAAAAGCCAGCTTGACGGCGGCCAAAAAAATTGGGGTGCAGCAGGCCCGGGGTGGCAGACGTGCCGACGACGCGGGGACGTGGCTCGGCGGACGCACGCGGCCCGGCGCGAGCATTAATTGATCCGAGATCGCGGTGCCGCCCCGTCCCCCGCCCTACCCTTGGAGGGCGAGGGGAACTGGGGCATTTCACAAGGCCGCCCTCGGTCCCCCCCCCCCCCCGCCCCTTCCCCCGTCGTGGTGGCGGGAGAACGCGCTGCACCTGAGGCCGCCACGGGGAAGCGCCAGGGTGCGCCCGGGCCCAGTGTGTACCTCTCCCTCCGGGGTGTGAGAGAGATGCGCGCCAGGACACGCGCGAAATGCGGCCTGCCTCTGGCTGGGCCGGGAGAGGGCGCGGGGGCCGGGGGCGCGGACACATGCGCCCCCTGTGACCGGGGACGGGCGGGGGATATTTTCCGCCGGCCACAGCCACGCGTCGGGGTCTGTGCAACCTGCCGCGCCCCCGCCTATTGGAGCCGGCCCCGGGCATGGGGCAAACGGCTGACGGGGGGGGGGGGGCGGGGCCCTGGGCGCGGGCACCGGCGGGGGGAGGGCGACCTGGTGCTGCCCTCAGAGTGTGCCCTCACGTTTTTTGCGGGCCGGAAAAAGAGAGGCCGAACATACTAGAGACCAGGCGGCCACCAGAGCCGGACCGCACGCCGGACGGAGGGCCTCCACCATAAAGGGGATTGTACTAGAAGAGCGGCCGGGCTTGCGCCCCCTCGCCCCGGGCCCCGGGCCCCCGGCTGCCCCGTTTCCGGAGCCTCTGTGTGCGCTGGGTGCCGGCACGTTGTTCCGGGCCCCGGCACCGGCTCACATGGGTTGGCCCCGGGGAGGTGGGGAGTGGCTGCCGCGCGTCCGCACGCCCCCCCCCCCCCCCCC